CTTGCCTGATCTGTCACTTTATCTGCCTGAACATAAATTGCTACTGCCAGCAGGCAAGGATGTGGGCTGTGGTGGGGGTTAAGTGCCAAAGAAGTGCTCAAATTTCACGGCATCCCTGTAGGTTTCAGCCTTGGGTACAGGCACCCATCAAGCCCTTGCAAGTGGTGACCTAGAGCATTCTGCTGAAGCTTTGTGCAGCTGCTTTTTTTTTTTTTTGCGTTGCTGATATCTTTTCCACTGGTTGTTCCTCTTTCTTCTCATTTTTAAGAAATAAAACAGTCACTGTGCTCTTTTGAAACCAAGATTGAAAAATTTCAAAGTGCAATGAAATTACTGTTATGCAAATGATGACCCATGTTCTTTGTTTCTTGTATGGCATGGAATATTAATACCTATCCCTGAGCATTACAACCCTTTCAAAATTCCCAAACCACATTTGGATAAGGGTAATTCTGGTGGACCGCGGTCTTCTGTACTTCTTGCAGTGGCATGCCACTCTGGCAACTTGCTGCAAGAAGGAATTATTAAGGAATGATTACGGTTGCACCTGTCCTAGAAAAAAAAAGACCAGTTATATATGGATAAAGGAGGTCCTGTAGAAGACCTGATCACGGGATATGGAATGAGCTGAAAAATTCCCAGGTCCTTCCTGGTAATCGTTTTAATTTATAAATTCCTGAGGTTGACAATACCCTTTTGCATCAGCTATCAGAGGTGGATGGGGGGGCAAATAGGGAACGGAAGACATTTTCATATATCAGCCTGCCTTTGGAAGGGGATGGGGAGGCACAATAACACAAGCTTTCCTCCCTCTGGGTTTGCTAAGGCCTGTTTTTTATTTCTCTTGGAGGACTCCCCGGCGCCTGGGATGATGGGTTCCCACCAGCAGAAGGGCGACGGCCAAGGGATCTCTGAGCAGTCTGGTGGATTCCATTGCAGTGGTGGCGGAGGAGGTTCATGCCATGGGGGTGGTGGAGGAGGATCCTGCTGCAGTAGTGGTGAAGGAGGATCTCTAGGATACCAGACCCAAGGATCGTCCTGCCATGGAGGAGGAGGCAGCGGCGGCTGCAGCGGCGGTGGTGGTGCTATTTACCAGACCCACACGTCATCATCCTCCTTTGGAGGAGGTTCAGGCCACCAGAGCCAAGGATCCATCAGTGGTGGCAGCGGAGGTGGAGGAGGTGGTGGTGGGTCAGGCCACCAGGGACAAGGATCCATCTGCATTATTGGAGGAGGAGGTGGTGGTGGTGGATGTGGAGGCGGTGGTGGTTCAGGCCACCAAAGTCAAGGTCCCATCTGCATTGGTGGTGGTGGAGGAGGGGGAGGTGGGGGTGGTGGTTCAGGCCACCAGGGCCAAGGGCCCATCTGTATTGGTGGAGGTGGAGGAGGAGGAGGTGGTTCCGGCCACCAGGGCCAAGTGCCCATCTGCATCGGAGGTGGCAGCATAGGAGGGGGAGGGGGAGGAGGTGGCGGTTCATGTCATCAAAGCCAAGGCCCCATCTGCATTATCGGTGGAGGAAGCGGTGGTGGTGGTGGTGGTGGAGGTGGTGGAGGTGGTTCATGTCATCAAAGCCAAGTGCCCATCTGCATTGGTGGTGGTGGTGGTGGAGGTGGTGGAGGTGGTTCATGTCATCAAAGCCAAGGTCCCATCTGTATTGGTGGTGGAGGAGGAGGTGGTGGTTCAGGTCATCAAAGCCAAGGCCCCATCTGTATTGGTGGAGGAAGCGGTGGTGGCAGTGGTGGAAGTGGTTCCAGCCACCAGGGCCAAGGCCCCATCTGCATTGGAGGCGGCAGCATAGGAGGAGGAGGAGGAGGAGGAGGTGGTTATGGCCACCAGGGCCAAGGTGTCAGCAAAGCCAAGTGCCCATCTGCATTGGTGGTGGTGGTGGTGGAGGAGGAGGTGGTGGTTCATGTCATCAAAGCCAAGGTCCCATCTGTATTGGTGGTGGAGGAGGAGGTGGTGGTTCAGGTCATCAAAGCCAAGGCCCCATCTGTATTGGTGGTGGAGGGGGAGGGGGTGGTTCAGGTCATCAAAACCAAGGCCCCATGTATTGGTGGAGGAAGCGGTGGGGGGAGTGGGGGGGGTGGGTCCAGCCC